CCACCATACCAAGGGTTGTGTCCCTTCATACTTTATATTTATACCACAATATGTATTCACAAGACTGATCATTCAATAAACTTATAAGTATTATAAATCAACTCTTAATTTACATAATTCAACTGGTCATAAAAATATGAATTTAGCAAATATGTTACTTGTTCTCTTCATGTATTACAGTTTGAAAATATACACAAGTTGTTCATATGTCTGACAACTCGTGTATCAAAGATAGATTACTTTTTACCTAAATACCCTTTGATATTTTGTTCACATATGTTAATTGAAAATATTAATTTAATAATTAATTTTTAAATATCATTAAATCACAACCGTTTATTATTCAAATTAACGGTCAAGATCGGGTAACAAAGTTAACACAATAATTTTGGTTAGCATTTGAACCAACACCTATATATATATATATATATATATATATATGGACACACACAAAGGGTCATGTGCGAATAGAAGTTAAAGTAAGAAGTGTAAGGAGAAATTTGGATCCTTGATCACTTTTAATTTCAAACCAACCCATGAGTTGCGTTTTATAAGAGAATTGATCTGGTGTATCTTATTAGTGTTGGTCGTGTGTTTTCCTTCAATTATGATTGATCCAAGGGTGGTAATCTCTTCTTACTATTATCACCACAACTTTCATTCCCATCGAAACTCAACCCTACATATATTGGGTCACTCAAGGGATAACTCAATAATTTATTAGATTCGTAAGATCCAATCTAAACCATATGTTATATTTAATCAATGGCTGATACAGAAATATTGTAATTTTAAAAATCTTGACTAATTTGAATTTGAATCAAGAGCTAGGTATATTACAAATCACTCTCCCCTCTCCGGCGAACTTTATTTCAGCGAACACCATATGAACGCAAGAATCTCATAAAATTTTATGATGCAGGTTAAAAAAGATACACATTGTGGTATCAGATCTCACAAGATACAACCTGTATCAGATCTTATGTGAATTGGTCGGAGTAAATGATTAGTTTATATTAGATCTCAAGAATCTCATAAAGTTTAGAGTTCTTATTTGATTAATACTATAAAGGTACTCGTGCAATGAATCGAAACACATCTTGATTTCAATATTTCGTTTTATTCCTTTTTTATGTCGATATAATACGATTTTATGTGATTTTGATAAAGCAATAATATTTTTATTTTTGAATAAAATATAAATTTGAAAATATCATAAATTTTTGAAAAATATATATATCGATATCAGTATCAAATTAGTCTTTTTAAAAGTTTTTGTGTTTTGGTGTAATTTCTTTAATTCAAAATTTTTAATTATAATTTAATTTAGGTTTAGTAACAAATAAATTTAATTTAGGTTTAATAATACAATTTTTTATAAAGATAATAACTAAGTATTTTATTATAACTCGATGATTATCCTAATTTTACTCTAATTTTTTATATTTAATATGAGATGTTTATCTAATATTTGATTATGTTTATCTATAGTTAGTTACACGAATTCAAATATGAAGCKTTAATAAGTTGTACTTATACACAATTTACTTGTAATCTTAAATTTTAAATAATATACCTCAATAAACAGTATTTTATACATAAAAAATGTTTTTTAAGAGTTATTGTCAAATGTTTTATAATATATTTGATTAATATAATTTATATTAATAGAATAATTTTCGAAACAAGTGAAGTAAGGAGACGTTGGTGGGTGTGAATGTAGTGGCTCCATTTGGACTTAGTTTCACCCATTATTTCGTGTTCAAAACGTCGTCGTATTTCCACATTCTTCTATAAATTTACCAGTCCCCATAAAACTAGAAAACACTAGCATAAACTTTATAGGCTAAGGTGCCGTTCACAAAACTCTTATCGGGTATCACTTACCTTGAATCTTACTCAGTAAAGGGGGAAAAGACTTTCACCCAATAAGCACTTATCAGATAAAAAACGCTTACCAACTATCCATTTTGTTGGCCGGTAATGTTACCGATAAGGTAAATAAAGGTAGTGAATATTGCCAGTAAGGGTTTTATAAACGGCCCCTAAGTCGTGTCTTCAAAAGTGAAGGCTAGCCCACCGAGGTTGGCCTTCTGAGTCAAACTTGTTCTTCAATACGAGACTTCACGCTGGACCTAGACCAAGCCTCTAGACCCCCGTTTTATAGCGATCTTAGATCCATCCAAGGTTGTTTACACAAGCAAACGTACATTCCACACCTCCTAACTCATGTTATAACTAAACCAAACCCCATCAATCGTTTGTAAATGACAAGTACACCAAAATGCTCGACGAGACTAAAATCACCCACATTTTGACTTGTCGGAAAAGTCAGTTCCGACGAATCTAAATGAATTATACGATGAAATCGACAGTCGTGAAGACGCAAGCATCTACTTTAGCTTCAAGAAACAGAAACATATTTAATTTTTCTTCCTGAATAAACAAATGCAGAAACTCCATAAAGAAGAAGCCAAAGATGTAACCATCTTCTACAAAGCTTAAGGCACTCCAAAAATACAAAACCTGATCACAGCATCAAACCTAACCTAACCCCAACCCTTTATATTCTCACAAAAACAACCTTCCAAATGCTACCCACTCTTCCCCCCTTGGACTCACTCCCTTGCCCTTTCTCTCCTTCAAAAAGTCCTCTTCCCTTCATATGTCTCCTTTCTCCTTGGATCTTGTGCTCCTGTTGCCGATTCTGGACCCCGATTACGTCACCAGAATCAACAAAGGGAGGCTCACTTGCTACATATTATTACTAAATACACTTTCCCTATATATAACAACCATAACATAATCAAATCATCAATAGGGTTGAGACAAGAATCTGATAAAAAGAAACTAATGGCTCTTCAGTCCATGGGAAGGCAAGGTGGCAACTCAATGGCGGTAGGAGGAGGAGGTGGTGGTGGTGGTGGTGGTTCTTCCTCTATCGCTCTCCTGCAAGAAAGATTCAGGCAGCTGGAGAAAATGAGGGAGAAGAGAGAAGAGATGGAGCTATTAAGGTTGTTCCCTGGGTCTGAAACCACTAGTCAAACTAACCATTATGAGCCACCAGAAAGATTGTTGGTGCACCCTGAGATGATCTTCCATAAACCAACTAAAAAAACGACCACGAGACCAGGTTTTCAAGATCCGCTCTCTCTTGGACTCGAGTTATACACAAAGCAAGCAGAACCCAAAAAACCTGCAAAAACCCCATCCTTCATGGACTTTTGGTCGGTAGATTCAACATCTGTGCATGCTTATGACAAACCGGAAGTCGATACCTCCCTTCATCTGTAGAAAAGCTTTTGTTTTTCTTGACTTTTTGGTCTTTTTTTCTTGATCTTTTGCATCTTTTTAGTTTCTTCTGTAACTTATAAGGGGAGGGAAATAAGACAATAACTGAAAGTTGATACCTTTGATCATTGTTGGTTATCTATTGACATTATACGGTCTCGGGAGAAGGTGGCTTTAGGTGTTTCCACGTACAATCTCTCATCATCGCTGCTGCCTGAGCTTTCGTCATTTTTCCATTTCTTTTTCCAGAATCTGGGCACGACACGAGCAGCTTCTTTGATTTGTTTTGCCGAGTGATTGTTTACCCTTTCAAATCTGACAGTATTAACCTTTCTACAGTTTCCTGCCAATATCTGCAGCACCAACAAGAAGGTTAAAGGAATGATCAAATCATTTTGGATGGATAAGCCGATAAGGAGATGGAATGTGATGTTTCATGAGAACAAGATTCGGTTTTTATTTTTTTATATAACACCCTTTTTGGCAAATCAAAGGCTCGGTTATTAAAACTACCTCGAGCTTGAATGTTTGACATCTATCTTTCTCATCATGACTGTCGGTTTCTTGTTTACTTTCATCACCATCTTCTTCATTTGCTTTCTTCATAATTACTTTAATACTTTCACCTGTTCTTGGAATATATCCAAATGCTTCGCAGATGAAACCTGAAACCGTCTCGTATTGGTGATCCTGCATGCAATATATATATAATTTGACCTCTATATATAATGAAGCTAACGAACTAACAATCAAAATTGATGAAGTAGAATATATAACGAATACCTCTGGCAAAACGATATCTAGATCTTCAGAGAGCTGGTAAATTGATGTATTTGCATCAACATCAAAAATTCCCTCTGCTACCTTTACAATATTCCCGGTTTTTCTCTCGATTTCCTCCTGTAATCCAACAATATTATATACTATGCATGAAGACATGAATTATGAGTATCTTCCTATTATATGTTCGCACAAATGTTTGCCAAAAATCGTGGATTTGTAAATTACATGAAATTTTCAGAATTCCTGAGAAGTTACCTTGGAGTCATTCTCATCGAAGATCTCACCAACAATTTCCTCAACAACATCTTCGAGGGTTACAATCTGCTTGTCAAGATACGAAGCAAAAGTCAATCTTTGATTTTTTACTGTCAAAATGTTTGATGACATACTCTGAATAGATGACGCACAGACATTGGGTTTGCTCCCAAGTGGTCACCCGTTCAACCCCCCCCCCCCCCCCCCCAAAGGGGGGCCGCCACAGAAGGGTGTGTCTGGTTGTTAACTTCAGGACGCAAGGGATAAGTCGAGGTGCGTGTAAGTTGGCACGGACACCCACAATTACCAAAAAAATGAATGATGTAGTAAAGGGTGGCTCTAGGTGTAAAAATATAGGATACAGCATCAAGAACATGAACGTACTCCAACAGTTCCACCATATTCATTGAGAACAACAGCCATGTGGACCTTCCTGATACGGAACTCCCTCAGAAGATTCCAGACTAACATTGAATCTGCAATGAATTCTGGTTAATTTAAGAATCATGTTCATTCTATCAGCAGCTACTTAGATCCACAAAAAACACGCTTGATTGTATTAGATTCCAACTATGCTGGATGGTTGGACCTAACGTAAAGATTATCCAGTAAAATATTCATTCAAAGGGTCCCGTTTAGTTTCACAGCCAATCACATAGCATTGCATATGCCAGTAACAACAATAGACACCGATATGGGTGCGTTTGGTAAGCATATAGGACTGGATGGGCAAGAGTGAGGTATGTGGGTGAAAGAATTCTTAAAGGTTTTAAATTTTTAACTTGACATGAGTAGTTTAGTAATTTACCAATCTTGTCCAGTCTCTAACTTTTGTTCCACCTATTTTGGTGGGGACAAGAAACAAACACTCAGTCCCGTCCTACTCCAGTCTAAAGTCACGCCAAACGACAACAAGTTTTTGTTCTGCTCCGCGTACGAAACCACTCTATGCGATCAAAATATTATATGACTATCGAATATACAGTCAAAGTCAACTCTTACCAGGAACAAAATACGCAGGCTTGTGAGCAATCTCTCCCACCGCTGCAGTTTCTAGCATATCTCCCTACAAAGTCCCCTGATGAATGTGAATCTTGATATATAAAACATATAGTGATTGAAAACAAGCAGAGGCGATGTTACTTTCTGAACAAGATCTAACAGATCCATTGCATAAGCTACGCCAACAATGTTATCAATTCGCTGCTCAAATACCGGCACCCTGTAAGTATATTTTTAAATTTTATTCAGTAAATATATAATCAGAACTATTTTCTTTAAACCAACTGTTTCAGACCGCAAATTTACCTAGAATATTGATGAGTCACCCACAAGTGATGGAAATCAACTAATGTTGCACCAGCATCAACTGCAACTACATCTACTAGAGGGGTCATTACCTCCTTCACATGGGTATCTTTTATCTCCAACACTTTTTCAATCATATCCTGCATAATGGATTTCAGCAACGCATATTGCAGTAAGGATCAACAAGAAATACCGAAAATAAGCAGCATAGGTGATGTAAATTATTTTATGCATACCTGCTCTTCCTCCTCAATGGCCCCACTCAATTCAGCAACCCTCAACATCAACTTGAGTTCATCTTCAGTGACGGATGGTTCACTGGTGCACAATTTAATTGGAACATCAAAGTTAAGCGAGGCAACAAGGGCCCACCAAGGCATCAGGATGGTGTCAAGGTGTTTATGGTTATGTTATCCGGTACTCTAAGAGACTGTCTGGTTGGTTTTCTATTAAGTTTTGTATGGATAAAATTGTCAGGTTGGATTAATCTGTCTGTATAGATTGGAAAGATTTTTACGAGGGTTTTTTCTTAGATGGAAGGAGCGTGTTTTTTAATTGGGAGGGGCAAGTTTGGAAAAACTTGGCTTTCTGCATAAAGCTCCCCTAGAAGCTTACTGAATAAGTCACATCATTAAGCCGTACCAAACAGTCATGTATAGCTGTCCGAATATGCTGCGAGTCCCATTAAGCTCGTTAAGCTGCTAACAAACAAGACCTAACTGATATATTGCATTATAATAATAGATTGAATAAATACTACTACAAATATGCAATGAAAACTGATAATGTGCATGGTCTTCATGTAATGTTTTTCACACTTTATACATAAATTTGAGTGATTCATATATAAATAATGTAAAGAAAAAGGGTATAAATACGAAATACTCTTTTGGAAAGTAACTGGCAACACCTAGACCACCTTGTTGCTCCCCTACTAAAAATGCAAACACACACCTGACACCTATAGGAAGTTTGCCGTGATAACCATGATCACCAATTTGATGCATCGTGCAATTCAGCATCACCATATAACCACAATCATATAATAACAGAAAGGAGACATATTTGCTTCCACCATTGCGACCAACCAGTAAATTTATAGGTATGCACCATATATCTGTCCCCAGACAGAATATCTCGAAAGAAACGTCAACAGGGGGGAGGAAGGCTTACCTTTTCCCTTTCAAGCCAAGAATTTTAAGCATTCCCATCGAAAGGAATGTAACAACTCTTCCAACTGGATATAGAACCAAAGAGAGCCATGCAACTGGACGGACCTATGTATTATTTGAGACACAAATTAGGTCGATATGAAATAATATCAACAGAAGGTAGCAGTAATCGGGTAAGGATCTGTGCAAATTTTTGTAAACTATAGATATTACATGTATCAGTGAGTATATATAAATCAAGCTTACCACAGCCCTAGCAACCGCAGTAGCATTGTGAACAGCTATACTTTTTGGAGTAATTTCAGTGAGAAGTAAAACAACCACCTGAAATCGATCACCAAACAATTTTAGCTTTCTAAGATGACCTCTTATTTTATGCATTAAATCACATAAACACCGTATATATCACATAACTTTGTAGGTGTTTATCGAAAAAGTAAAACACTCGTGCTAAACAAAGTGCAATAGGCATAGACAAGAATTTGCCTCAGCTTCCCAGCACCTTTTGAAATTTGTCATTGTTTAGGAAGCAAGAATTTGGTCCCTTAGGGTCGTTTGGTACATGGGACAGAATGGATAGGACAGCAAAGAACCTTTTGTCCCACATCTGGCGCCACATGGGACAGGACATTCCTCAGTGGAACAAAAATGCATTCCACCAAAATAGGTGGAACAAAGATAAGGAGACAAGATTGGTAAATTATTAAACTACCCATGTCAAATTGAAACCCTAAGCCTTACGCAATTCTTTCACCCACCTACCACACTCACGCCCGTCTCAAAGTCTGGTCCAATCCAGTCCTAGTACCAAAAGCACCCTTAAAGTCTAAGAGGCTGTTTGGTTGGTTTTTCATCAAGTCCTTTATGGATAAAGCTGCTTGTATGGATTAATCTCTATGTATAGATTGGGAAGATTTTTGTTTGGAAGGGTTTTTCATAGATGGAAGGAGCTTGTTTTTTAATTGGGAATGATAGGTTCGGAAAAAACGTGGCTTTCTACGTAAAGCTCCCTCCTAAAAGCTTACTAAATAAGCCATTTTCTATATCCTTAAGCCACTACCAAATAGTCATGTATAGCTGACTGAATAAGCCGAATCTCATTAAGCTAACAAGCGGGGCCCTAAATCTTGATGGTTCATTCATGCATTTTACTTAACATGTATCCAACTTGAATGTAATAAACAATCACAGGTATCCTCTCTTGAACTTAAAATGGGATTTTAGACACACACCGTCATCACACCAGTCGCTGCGCTAACACCAGCTTCGCCAAAAACCGTTGTTGCCGCCTCTGTGAAAAGTGCAGTAGCTCCAATGTTGACCACACTGGACAAGTTGCTACAGTTGTCAATAACAATATTCCATCTCTTCGCTCCAATAATCCATTTTCTAGTTAACTCATGCTTAGATTCTAAAACCCCTTGAAAGAAAACGAACTAGAATCACAAAGATAGGAACTTTACGTTGTGCCAATGAGAATGGTGGTGAGGAAGCGAGTGATATCTGTGCGTAGCAGCCTGAAGACGCCATTTTCTCCTTCTTTTTCAGCCAATTCTCTCACCTGCAAACAAGAAACTGTATAGTATCATACATTTTGTAGAAGACGCCGTTTTCAGAAGCAATTGTATCGATTTCAAATAAAGTGGAAAGAGGTGGCACAAAAACAAAACAAGAGTGGTAAACGAATAGATACCTTCCATGGCGAAAGAGTGGTAATTGAAGTCTCGGCCATTGAAAAGAAGGCAGATAAGCCCAAAAGTGCAGCTAAAATCAAGCCTTGCTCTCTGAAAACTCGAAGAACCTGTGAAATTTTGGGACCGTTCCAGAAACCTTTTAAGTAAACCATACCCTTCTGTGTCAAATCCCCTAAATCGCTACCAGCCTCCACTGCCAGAACTCTCTGACATCTAATTACCCCCAAAACCAACAAACCCACCACAAATCCACATCTCAGTAAAACCCCAAACTTCTTCAAATCCTCTTCTCTTGGCGAATCTTTAACAGATTCTTCGCCTTCAAATTCACTGGTGACATAATTCTTTGGGTAAGATTTAACTCTGAAAACACTGGAGGTTCCTGAAATCTGAATTTGTTTCTGCAATGAATTTGTAGTGTGATGGTAGCGAAAGGGAGGAAAATGTTCGGGAATTCTTGAAGGGGGAAAAGGGAGACGATGGATGAAAGGTGGAGTTTTGAGAAGTACGGAGTTCATGGTTTTGTATGCGTTTTGGCTGTGAATTGGTTGTGGGGAGAAAAATACAAAATTTCATGAAAAAATAAATCTGCTGGTGAAGGATTGTGAAGAGGGGTTTAGGGGTGAAGGGAAGAAGTGGTCCACGGATACCCCGAATCATGTATCAAACATTTGTTGCTATTGCACGTAAAAATATCTTATTGATTTATTTTGGTACGAGACCGGTAATAAGTACTTTTGAGTGTTCGGATAAACAACTCATATTGATGCTAAATCGGTAATAAGAAGTTTTTAAAGAAGTTAAACCCTTCTGACTTATAATAAGTTGATAAATGTTTTTGTAGAAAAGCATAAGTTGTTTCAAATAAGCAATCCCAAACAACCCCTTAATTTTGTAGCCATGGACAAGAGACATCTGTGCCAACTATTTTTGGTAGAATGGTGGGAAAAAATCACCATTAAAAGGAAATTTGTATACAATGATACATTAATACTTTCATTAGATTAGTTGGTAGAATGATGAGGGACTTTGTTCAAATACAAGACAAGTCTTGCTCTTTACAATAATACCTTCATTCACCGATTCAGTCTTGCAACTTCATTGCACAAACGATGCTTTATGAAAGTGCTCCAAGCTTCTACCATCCATCTCGGTCTATTTTCCCTACTTTTCTAGTTTTCTACTGATATCCAATACGAAAACAACAAAAAAAGTCATCAATAATTGATTTTGAAGGTTAACCCCTCTCTCTCTCTCTCTCTCTCTCTCTCTCTCTCTCTCATATTTCTTTCTCACATATCCATTAGCTTATAATAAACTTTTAACCGTTGTTAAATATTTTATTTTAATTTGTAGATACATAAACCTTTTAAATCGTTCACATACTTTATAAAAATCGTCCTTATTTCCCTGAAAAGCGAAGCTGTTAAATCTTGATTTTAAAAGACCAAATCAAGATTTACAAGAAGCATCCAGAAGTTTCTTGTAACCCTGTTAAATTGAACCAATTCGACTATCCCTGTTATTCGTGGTGCCAGCTTTGATTGGACAAACATGCACAGGCTATCGACACATCCTCTATCCTCTATCCTCCGTTATAGTGCCCGTTGTAATGCCGTGGCAACGGCTTCCATCCATTCTTCCAACGAAAGGGTATGGTTCAAATCAACCATTGGACTATTTTCCCCTTTATTACATTGTTGTTGAATTATTTTTGCATTAGTTGCATCTGTTCTTGATTACTGTAGTTATTATCAATCCCATCAACATCCAACTATGTAGAATTTTCTTTTAAATCAACAAGTCAAATGGCTACTAAAGAATATCAGTTTTAGATCCACAAAGAGAAAATCGCCAGTTATGCAAATCTTGTTGTAAACTACAGATACAAAAACAAGTAACAAGATAAAATATTTAGACATGGTTTTGCTAGTGGGACCTATATTTCAATTGAATCGTAAGATTCAGATCAAACCAAATATACCCGGTGAATCCCACTGGTGGGTTGGAGGTTAGATGTGCACTAACTTGACCCCAGTCTCAAAGAGTAGACAAGTTGATCCATGAAACCCCCCCCCCCCTCTTGGTTCAAGAGTGTAAGCAATAAAGATTAGCATATGGTGAAAGAAACACGAGAAAAGCAAGTAAGCACAAGTATTAAGAGGTACAACGAATAAATACAAAAGGTAGGGTCAGACAATACCACACATGGCAAGTACGAAAAAAAAACACCTCCTCGGCCTAAACTGTCAGCCCTCTACCCCTTTCCTAACTTCAGGTACGTTCCAATCTTTTTGGAGTGTTACATCTAAAACTTCTGAGTATATTGTATAAATGGGATATTAGAGAATATATGTCAAGCACAAAAATGGGTTAAACCTAAAATGATTAACAATTTGAAACTAAACCTAAATCATTAATAATTTGAACCTAAAACCAAACAAATAATGGTTTAAACATAAATAATTTCGGCCACAGTTTTACACAAGTCGATAAAAAGACCCTAAACACATGTAAATTTAGGCCCCAAAATTTCGAGGGCCCTGTTCAAAATCTCACATTTAACATGTTAAGGGACGATCTTGCCTAACTTGACCAACTCCCTTTTTCTCGAGTATCGTAACCATAGGTCTCATTCCTAGTTTGATATCCTAATCCTCTGTTTCCAAGTGCTCTTCAGACATCATATCCTTGGAAATATCCAAGGTCGCTATGTCCAACCTCAATTGCTCATCCCACATCCTCCCCGCCCTTCCCTTCTCCATAAGATTCAAATCATGAATAGATATAACTGATAAAACATACATCAACACCATATAATGATAGCACTAGTATGCTAGTATTAGGTATTTATCATCCTATTCGGTCCAATGTTTAATGTAAAACATGATTATCTGGTATAGACGTTCATCGTTATGTTCATGATTATCATCATAGCTTGGTTTTAGACCATTCAACCGATAAATATGCAACTTTTCATCTTCAGCAATGCAAGTGACGCCTTGGACAAGTTGTGGTTCCTTCCTTCAGGTGCCTATAGATGTCCTGCTATTCAACTATCTAATTCGAGTCTGGAATTTCAGTGATTTGGTGCCTGTTACCTTTTGCAAATGGCAATGGACATATAGATGTGAATCTTGTATGATTTGTTCCATTAGACAAATGACGTATGAGATTTGTTTGCTAAGAGTATTAACGTATTATACTAAATGCGTCTAGAAAGGAGAAATACATATGGGTGTGAATCTTTTTATGGTTTTCATTGACAAGTTTCTCTCGTAACAGATTGAGGTTGATGGGAAATACTAGAGTGGACGAAAGGTGAGGTTCATTTAACAAATAAGGTGGTATCCCAACAAAACTCGAACTTGAATCATTTTGTTCGTTAACCTCTCGTCAAATACGCTAACCTTGGGGGGTTTGTGGGTTTTCTTAGGACAACAACGACCAAGTATCAAATAGTCGCACGTTGACGACAACGGTTGATGAAACCAAATAGAAACTTTATAAACCTATCGTCGGTTCTAATAATCGTACTATTCTTGAAATGACAAGATATATACAAAATATTCCTACAAGATTGTATTTTCTCAATCAAAACCCAAATTTGGAACGTGATGCCATTGTTGGCGAAGTGGGTTTGGAATGGAATGATGAGCAGGCCAGGTACGTTGACAATATCAACCTACGGTCAAACTGTGTCTTCTGCACCAATCCATCCGGTCAACGTCTACACCCTAATTATTGCTTTCTGTTTCTTCCCCAAAACCTTGTTTTCTTCCACATCTAATCTTCCTGCAAACCCACCTCTCAAGTTTCTTCATTTCGTCCTTCTGTTTACTTCAAGTTTAGACACCCATCTGCTCCATTTTGTTGGCTTCCAATCGATTTTGGAACAACGGTTGGTATCTTCTCTTCTCACCTTCTTCCCCTGCATCAAGCTGAGCAATAGAGAATTCAGAAACTTGATCATGGCGGCATCATCTGGATCCAACAACAATAACCATAATCAACCTCCATCAAACATGCTTCCTGCCAGATGGCCACACTCGTCTTTTGGTACACTTGCTACGAATCCTGATCAACTTCGTGAGTCTGCCGCCGGGAGTTCCAGTTGTAGAGAAACCTTTCCGACTGCCGATGTCAAGACTGTTAAAAAAGAAAACGACATCACCGACCAGCCGGTCATCCGTCGGATTGCTGATTCGCATAAGGTTTATCTTCAAGATATAGCTTGAGAAAGAGTTGATGTCATTTCTGAGAAAATGTGTGTACTTCCTGATGATTACCTACAGGAATTAAAGATGGTACTCCGTGAGATTCTTGAAGGAATCAGTGGATCGCATTATCGAGAAGATCTGTTTCTTCTTCAGAAGCTTGTTCAGACCAGGTCTGATCTGAACACCATGACTTTAACCAAAGCTCATCGAACACAGCTAGAGATTCTCGTCGCTATTAACTCAGGAATTCAAGCTTTTCTTCATCCTAACATCAATCTATCTCAATCCGCTTTGATCGAGGTTTTTGTCTACAAACGCTGTCGAAACATCGCGTGCCAAAGCCTCCTTCCGGCCGAAGAATGCAAGTGCAACATTTGCTCCAATGAAATGGGTTTCTGTAATCTCTGCATGTGCACCATATGCACCAAATTCGACTTCGATGTCAACACTTGTCGTTGGATTGGTTGCGATTCTTGTTCTCATTGGACTCATACCGACTGTGCTATACGCGAAAAGCAAGTTTGTATGGGGACGTCCGTGATGGGTGGAGTTAGTTCACCACAAATGGTCTTTAGATGCAGGGCATGTAGCCGGACGTCCGAGCTCTTTGGATGGGTTAAAGGTGTGTTCCAACACTGTGCACCATCTTGGACCCGTCAACATTTGATCATGGAGCTTGATTCAGTGAGTAGAATCTTTGGTGGTAGCCAGGACTCTAGAGGGAGGCAGCTTTTCTGGAAGTCTGATGAGCTTCTAGAAAAACTCAAGGGTGGAATGGCAGAGGCAACAGCTTGTGAAATCATATTGACATTTTTCAAGGGTAAGTATAAACTGCACTCAACTAAGAATTAAAGATCCATCTTTTGTTTATAAAATAACTGTCACCCGCGTAAAATCGGCTTTATAAAAGGTCTAACAGATTGCATAATAGGCTTAAACGGTTGTGCTTCTCATATAAGATCGTTACTACCAACACTTTTTCTGCTACGCTTTTGACATCTCATGAAACCGATTTTGTTATGGTGCATCCAACATGGTTTCTTGCCGGTTTTTTTACCAATTTATTTATGTCCAGAGCTTGGACTGGACTCACCAGAAAGACCAGATCCCAGTGGAAGTGAAGATGCCTGCAACAAAATATATGAAGTGGTGCAGGAGGCGATCAGAAAGATGGAAATGGTGGCGAACGAGAAGATGGAAATGGTGGCAAAAGCACGATTAGAGCTCGATAACTGTGACCGTGAACTGGAGGAGAAGGGGCGGGAAATCGCAGAACTGGAAATGGGAAGACATGAAAAGAAGCAACAGATAGAAGAATTGGAAAGCATAGTTAGATTGAAGGAGGCAGAGGCAGATATGTTTCAAGTGAAAGCTGATAAGGCAAGAAGGGAAGCCGATCGGCTTCGGAGAATTGTTGTTGCCGCCAAGTCGAAGAGATCGGAGGAAGAAGAATATGCTGCAAGATATTTGAAGCTCCGATTGAGTGAAGCCGAAGCCGAAGCTGAGAGAATGCATCTTTTCGACAAGATTAAACTGCAAGAACGGGAGCCGGAAACCGGGATGATGTATTCCAAGATTCAAGATTTGCTGAAGAATGTTTACAATCAAGATCAGGATGTTATTTGTAGCAGAAAAAGTGTATGAAAATTTGGTGGTTGATCAGCTTCTTGGCTTCCATTCCATGGAAAGCAAGTTTGACTTGTGAAAGTCAAAGCATTGAATTGCAATACAAGAATCCATTTGAGAAATAGAAGGCAGTGTTGGTGTTTGAATCTCAAAAACATCCCCATCATATTAAAGAGAGGAGATTATATATGGTCCGTGGGATAGAGCTAGAATTTTTTTCACCATTTGATTATAAGAAAAAATTATAGCAAAAAATTTTCAAATAGTGACACCGGTTGACTATAAGAAATAAATATATATAATTTTTTTCAATCGGTGGCATTATTTGACTAAGAAAATGACATTAACAAGATTTGAATTTGGGTCTTGAGTGGAATAAAAGCCTTGCAAACCAACTCTACCAAGTAAAACTTGTTCTCGTTGTAATTTCAAAATACATACGGTGGCACACAACAGATTAATACAGTTACACTTTTCACGAACCTAATTTTTTTTATCCTTCGATGGAGAAATAATATGGTGGCACGTGCCACCGTAACCCATGGTAGGTCCGACCATGTATGGTCCTGGATGTATTTTTAGCGTGTGTTTGGTTTTCAAGCAGGATATGATACGACATAATAGTTGTTCAATATTTGGTAAGATAGAATTTGACAGAACAAGAAAAATGATCAATTTACCTTAATAACTTGTTTATATATTTTAATTAATTTATTAAATTATAATAAAGTAATTGTTTTTTATAACAAGATATATTTTCATCAAAATTAAAATGACATCAAAATAAAAAGTTTATGTAGTTTTTAATTTTTATATTATTTTTTATATATTTTTTTATTTATATATAATAAATTAATACATGTAAAGTAGGCATACGAACCACTTTAGCTTTGCCTTAGACTCTATTAGAACAAAACAAAGACTTATTTTAGCCCGTACCTTACTTTAACTATTTATTTAAATATATAGAAAACATATAAAAATAAGATTTTAAGAATAATATAATGAAAGTTTAAAAAACATAAAATATAATAAATAAAAGTTAAGAAATGGATAAAATGTAAATATTGAGACATATTTAACGTTTTAAAAGAGAATAAGTTTTATTTTAAAATTGTATTTGTAAAATATAAGTCTGTTCCACCATGTTCCATGGGGTAAGGGTGAAGCAGGCATGTTCCACTTTGTTAGCGTCTCTTTCACATAAAAGTGTTGTCAAATGTGGAACAAAGATCCACTTTTTTGTTCTATCACGTATTGTCCAGTGTACCAAACGCACCCTTAAGGTGGATTAAAAACTCATTTATATTAAAATCAGATAAAATAGCTTATTTACAAAAGTTGATTTAAATAAAATTTAAACATGATTTTTCATTTTCACTTATGAAATAAAACAAGGTTTACTTAAATAGACATTTTAACTAGTGTTCTTTCATAAAATGATCTAGGACTGGTAACTGATCTCGGTGCCAAATCTGATCTTAGGCTTGACCCAGTTGAAAGAAAATCATTTTTTCAATATTTTTTACACAAAAATGTCATTCAAGTTTTTTAAATTATGATATTTCAAATTATGCATTGAGATCACTTTAAGTATTACATTTTACTTGGAAAAAAAAATTGTGAAAAACTTGAATTGCAATTTGTAAAAATCATTAAAACGTTGAAGTTCGATCTTTGTGTATAACTGATCCTAAAAAATTCTCAAATTTCTAACTGGTTCCTAATCGACGTGTCTGTATTGGTCCAAAAGTCGATTATTTTTGCTTTTTAACATGGTTAAAACCCCAACATAAAAATAGCAATGAATCAACCTTCGTTCCTAGTATGTTGGTTCGCCAAACAAAAATCCCAGATTGGCGGTGCTCTGATGAAGAAGAGGGTGTTGATAGGGATGTTCATGAGTTGGGTTGATCGGATTGAAGACATTTAAACAACTTAACCTAATTTGAAAAAATTTAACTCAACCCAAACCATACGGTGCTCAGGTTAGTCGGGTTGGTCGAGCTAATTCTTTGGTACATTAAAATATTCTTCTAACATTGAATATGTTATTCTCTACTCATAATTTCTTTTTCATCATCAACCATTTGATACAACTTATTCATATTTTTT